AAAAAATATGTAAAGTGAATAATGAATGTATTTTTTTTTTATTAAAAAGGGCAAAAAACGACTTTTAGGGGGGCGGTAATAATCGAAAAGGGGGGTGGCAAAAATCAACACCCTATTTTAATTAGCCTCCAGCGCGTGAGACCAATTGGTAGTTAGTCGTGGAGAGATAAGTTCTTGTTAAAACCAGAGGTCAAACCTGAGAGTAGAGGATGACATTCCTACTCTCTTGGGACTTGGGTGGATTAGTCTCATCTCTTTGAATGCAGAACTCGTAGTCTGTTAGGGCCATCAACCGGTTAGCAGTACCAAATACACGGTGAGCTCGGAGTGGCTTGGGAGTAACTTCTCTGAGTACAGAGCCCGTAGTCTATTAGGGCCATCAACCGGTTAGGCAACACCAAACACACGGTGAGCTCGGAGTGGCTTGGGAGTGCGTGGTGAAATCTCGGATAAATGTAGGGATACCACACAGTCGACAAAAAAAAAATATATATATATATTTTAATTAATTGTTTCCAGTGTTTTGTTTGTTGACATTTTAATTCGTTTTATTTCATAGTTTGAAGGTACTTTCATCCTAAAAATTTGGTTTGCACACTATATTTCTATTCCCTTGCATTTGTGCAAAGGCTTAATAAAATTTAAATGTGGCTTCAAAAACTATATGAGCCTCATAAGAAAATATTAAAACTAACATAATATCATCATTAGTGTTATTTTTTAATTTAAAACATTTTTTGTCAATATCAAACTTTATTAACTGAATGTTCATGTTTTTACACTACACCGATTAAAAAGATCATTATTATTTAATTTTTAATTTAAAAATATTTTTAGGCAATCTCAAACTTTATTCCAGGAAAATGGGTGACCTAACCATTAAATATTTATAAATTTTTAACTAATATATATAATTTTTTTACGTACAGAGCGAGTTGATACTTCCACAAGAATTTTTATCTAAATAGATGAAAAAAAAAGTCCATTTTCACTCAATTCCAAATACTTTTTTTTTAAATGAAAAATGATAAAAATAATTGAAATAAGAAAATATAAAGCTGGATCTGGAAAAAAGTCCACATAATTTGTTCAACAAAATAAATAATAACAAAGAAAAAAGACGAATAAAACAAATATAATCAACAAAATTGGGGAAAAACGGTACCCACTACACAATTATTCGCCGTCAAGACACTGAAGAAAAACCCAAAATCACGCCGCAAAAAAATGTTCTCCGACGAGGCCCTTTTCCGGCACTGCCTCCTCTCCCTCTTCCTCATCACGCCCCCTACCGTCGTCTCACTCCTCTTACTCTCCGCCCCCTACGGCCGCCACCGCCGCCCCGGCTGGGGCCCCACCCTCCCCCCGCCGCTCGCCTGGTTCCTCATGGAGAGCCCCACCGTCTGGCTCACCCTCCTCCTCTTCCCCCACGGCCGGAACCGCCGCGACGCTCGCGCACTCGCCCTCATCTCCCCCTTCCTCCTCCACTACGTCCACCGCACCCTCGTCTACCCCCTCCGCCTCCACCTCCAGGCCCGCCGCCG